TACATTTAAACAGCATTTTATAGACCACCAATTGGTAATTCGGTGGTCTATAAAATCTATAAAAATCATTTTGAAAACCACTTAAACTATTTGTTACCAAAACTCTTAAAAAACACGTTTACTTATCGGGTGATTTTAATTTGAACCGTTTGAGTATTAAAACCAATGATGTATTATATAACTAGACGTCGAACTTCGAACCAAAAAGTGAGCCGCTTTTTGCCCTTTTTATATTGCCCTTTTATTCGTGCCCTTTTAGGCGTGGCGCAGTGGTAGCGCACTTGTCTCAGAAACGAAAGATCCGTGGTTTAAACCCCACCTCTGGGCAAGTTTTGCGACATCGGTTGGGAAGGAGGCGTGAACTTCCTATTAAATGCTTTTCCGCGGTGCTCTGTGAAAAGACCGTAAGGACTTCTTGGGGCACCTTAATCAACTTAAAATATATATATATATATATATATATATATATATATATATATATATATATATATATATATATATATATATATATATATATATATATATATATATATATATATATATATATATATGTATATATATTTTTTGGTGTAATTTATTTCGCCGTTAAAGAATGTTTACATTGCATATACATATATCAAAATTAATGGTGAATTTTTAACATCATTACTTAAATTTCATTAATATAAATAAATTTGTTTTTATTTGATTAAACTTTAAAATAAACACTTGAAGTCAGATAAATTAAGATCCCTGAATAGTAATGATTGTTTTGATTCATTTTTTAAATTGCTCTAATGTAGTCTTGTTTTTGTTGACAATATCTGGGAATTTTTTCCACAGATAAGGTCCGCGATATTTAATTGAAAAATTAGTGTTATACGGGCAATTTTTAGTTTGTCAGGAACAATACCTGTTTTAAATGACAGATCAAAAACATGAAATAAAGAAGGTTCAATAATATCACATACTGATTTGACAATATCAATACTAATTTTATCAAAACCTTCACTTTTTTTACATTTGAGACTGCTAAATGCAGCTCTTAGCTCGCTAAGTTTTAAATTAGTTTCGTCCGTAAGTTTGTGTTAAGTTTTTAAGTATGAATCAAAAGGAGTAAATTTAGATGGAATTTTAGCGGCCAATTTCGGACCGATATTAACAAAGTAGTTGTTTAGTTCTTCAGCTATAATAGATTTATCATAAACTAATTTTCCATTAGGGTAAAAATTTTTCAAAAACCACAAAAAAACACAAATCTGCATCCTATATCACCAAAATTTTTGAAACTTGCCACAAATGTTTATATACATATGTAAGGAATGATTGTAAAATTCCTTACCGATTATAATTTACAGCAATTTGAAGTTTCCTTGATTTTGACTAAAAACTGAGAGGGGAAAAATGCCGAAAATCATTCCGTTTACTTTCACCTTAATATGGTGCTTGCAGTGATGCCACAATTCTGAAACTTTGTACCAAAAGAGTTTAAAACCTGTTAAATCCGAAAAATATAGTTTTTTTATATGTCAATTTCGATTTTCTTAAAAATAAGATCAACACCTACTTTTCGAACCAATTTTGTTTTGGCCTTATATTTACTTGAGGAATTATTGATATTTGATATAGACACAAAATTTTTCAATATTTTTTAAATTAGACACTTGATATAACCTTTTACCAATCAATCAAATTAGAAACTAAAAATTTAGTGACTTTATTATCTTTTTCATTTTCATATGATATTTACAACAAAATTTAAACGTATATATATTCTTTTTTTTTTAAATACTAAACTTTAGTGATTTTATATATGCTTTACATTCACATTATTTACAAGTTGGTTCACAAAACATAATATTTAAAAAAAGAATGGATGAGACATAACAGACTCATAAATATAAAAATCTCTACTTCCTTAGGAAAATAATTTTTTTAAGTCCTCTTTGGCTAAATAGTAGCAAAGTCCTGTTTTTGTTATCGGTACCTCAACTTTGCAAATAATGTGGACATCAGGAATCCAGCATTGGCTTTCCTTTGGTGGCCATTTAAACAACCGTGCAGGACCATTAGGACACATAAATTATACAAGCACATCTTTTTCTTCTAAATTAATATCTTCAATGACTCCTATCCACCACTTTTGCTCATAGGAAACACAGGTATAATCACCTGGTACTAGGTTTACAGTTGTTATATTATATATTAAGGGAAATGGCTACCTTTTTTTAAATGGAGGTTGTTAATGCTGTCAATTTTTGTTTACCTTCTCTGATTTTACCTGACTTGTGCAATCCTTTGACCTTAATTGGAGATGCTCCGGCAGATGCAAAGTGTGTGTCTACATATTCTTTTTTATTTTGAATGGATTTTTCATTAACAATATTAAAATCTTCATCATTTTTATTTTCACTTATACTTTTTGATAAACATGTCATAACTTTACTTTGACAGATTGGAAACAGTTTTTTTCCAGATATAAGATTTAAACCTATGGTTTCTGCTTCTAACACAGTATGCATTGTAATCACACGTAGAGATGCTTAAAAAGAAAGTAATTACATTACTTAAATAACATTAGTTATATATATTATGTAATTATATTAATAAACAATTTGTTATATTAATAGCTATGAAACAATGAACAAATCTTATTATCAAAAAAACTTATGACTTATTAATAATGATATTACCTAATGAAATATAAATATATAAATTTTTACCTCTACACACCTTTTGGTGACTCAGAAATGGATTACAGCAACTTTTCTGATTACCCTCATATCTTCAACTAACATATCATGATGGTGTGTGCATATATTATTAATTTGTTCTTGTTTCAGATTTGTTCGTTTTTCAAGTAGCTTACGATCATTGCTGTCAATATCTTCAATCAGATTTCTTTCTTGAGTATATGATTGTTTATAACAAGCTTCATAATTATTTACAAAGCAGCAATTAATTTTGTTATCCATATAAAAATATAATGAGGAATCTCTGTCTAAACACTTAATACAAGAAATCTTAAACAATCTTAATGTCCCTAACAAGAAAAGTACACTTGAACACAAACAATATCATATCAATATGTATTTATAAAGAACATATTGCTTGAACGAGTAGCTATACTAACGAGTAGAACGAGTAGTTTTAGTTTCCAACATTACTATTAGTTTGTTAAAAGGGTAATGGTAAATTGACATATTTCTGGCTTTATCCCCCCCTCTTTTTTTAGTCAAAGGGTTGAGAATTTTTTGAAAAATTTTTACAGTCTTTCCTAACTTATATCTCCTAACTTATATCTTATATCTTATATACATTTGTGCAAAATTTCAGCGAATTTGGTAATGCAGGGTGCGACCCCTTGTTTTTTGAGAAATTTTTACCCATTAATTAAAAGATTTTTGGGCAGAATGTTTTTTTTGTAATTATTTTTTCCAATTAAATCCTTAATTACATTCCATACTTTTTCAGTGTTTCCGTTTTTTTTTTTTTAATAACTGAGCATAATAAAGCTTTTTTGAGTATCTTTTTATTTTTTCAAATATATTTTTGTAATTTTTATAAGTTATTTCATTTTTATAAGAATTTTTTTTAAGATACTTTATATATAATTTTTCTTTCTTTTTTGAAGATTTTAGTAAACCTATTAACATCCAGTAGGTACGTGCGTATCTGGTTATTTACGGCACCGATTTATAAGTAAAAAACTATGACCGTTTTTTTCACGGACAGCCCTAAAAAGGATGCACCAAAGGTACATTTTGTGTTTATATAAAAACGCAGACCGAAAAAAGTTTAGCGCATGCGTATTTATAAACTGCGCTGAATATATAATAACCACGCGGTTCATAATAACTATTTGTTGTTCAAATAAGTTAGCTTATATTTATTCTTGATATTAAAATGAATAAAAATGATTCTCACCAAGATTTTGAGCATGAGTTGAGTAAGATTATATATGAGTTCATAAGTTTATTTATTATAAATTAATGTATCTACAACATATTTCTGGCGTGCATATACATATATTTGTTTATAATATTATTATATTATAATAATAATATATTTTATATTATAATGTTATATTTATATCAATATTATTTTATACATAAAACATATATGCGTAACTTATTTTATAAAATACATTTTAATCTCTCTCTCTCTCTCTCTCTCTCTCTTTCTCTCTCTCTCTCTCTCTCTCTCTCTTTCTCTCTCTCTCTCTCTCTCTCTCTCTATATATATATATATATATATATATATATATATATATATATATATATATATATATATATATATATATATATATATATATATATATATATATATATATATATATATATATATATAGGTACGTGAGTAAAAATTTCAAATTGTTTGAATACTATATTGTTATTATTTATATATCATTAGAAAGAGGATTATTACAGTATTTTAAAGGTGAAAAAATTATCAAAATTGAACAATTGGTTTAAAAGTTATGACGGTTTAAGTACCGATTTTTCTATATATGGATTTGTTGAAGAAACTGTGGTCAAAAAAATGTTTTTCTTCACTTAAATTTTCATAACTTTGTCAATTCTTATCAAAAAACAAATATCTTGGCATCAAAAGATAGGTGTAAGAGTGGGCTACAACTTTATATTAAATTCTAACCGCCGGGCGTATCGGATGGACAGAGGGGGTACCAAACCACCACCTTGCCCGTGTGAAACTGAACACTTTTTTAGAAAAAAAGTTTTTTTTTTAAGACATAAGCAATATAAATATACAAAAAAATTGTTTTAAATTTATACTAAACTAAAATATATGAGAGGTGTATGTTAGCAATAATAGTGTGTGTGGTGGTGATGGTTTGATACACCCTTGTATCAAAAACGACTTGATTTTATAAATATTTATCTTTACTAAAATGAGTAAAACTAGTATACAATATAAAATTATGTTATACAAGATCTTATGTATACAAGTGGTGTTTCTATTATGGGAGGGGCGTATGACCCCCGCCCTCCAACCTAAAAAAAAAAAGAAAAAATATGCAATTACTGTTTTCAAAATTTGAATAATAAATTAAAAAAAAAATTATGAAACTGGAAACAATTTAAAAAATAAATTCATACCAGACAACCACCAAATATGAGAGATGAATGTAAAACTCATAATAGATATGTTGATGATGTTTTAGTACTATAATATCAAAAACATTTTTAATTCTTGAAATACCTTAATGAATATTATATAAGTACAACAACAAAGAAGTAAAAAACATATTCCACTAGATTAAAATATACATTAGTGGTGCATCCATGGTCATAAGAAAGTGGAGTATAAGGAAGGGCCTATCCAAATATATCATAAGGGAAGGGGCATTAGAATGCCTCTAACCAAACCAATTGGATATATATTACTTAAAAAATTATACAACTACTATTGTGGGGCTATAATTATAAGTCAATTGGCTGTAAAAAACATGTCATCTTTATAACTAAGTATAGCAACTACCTATATTAAAGTCTTTCATGTGATTACTACATTAAAAGAAGTAAGGACCATACAGTATGGTTAACGAGCTAGCCATTCTGTTTGGTTAACAAACAAATTTCTGTTTCAAAATAAATAATAAATAAAATGTTAACATTAAAAAAAAAATTTTTTAATTATTTTAAAAATAATTTAATATATTTTTGTCTTGGTTTTTAGTGAATGATTAATATGATTAATTCCAGTAATAAAACTATATTTTAATTATTTTTAATAATAGCCAGCACACGAGGGTAAGCCAGAGTCGTCTATCAAAAAATTTAACAAATTACAACACTTGCTATATAATTTAGGCAAGTCACAACACTAGCTGTATTATTTATGCAAGTCACAACACTTGAAATACATTTTTGGCAAGTCACAGCACTTGTTGTATTATTTATGCAAGTCAAACGTTTGCTATATATTTTAGGCAAGTCACAACACAAGCTGTATTATTTATGCAAATCACAACACTTGCTATATAATTTAGGCAAGTCACAACACTTGTGTTTTTAAATTCATTAAATTGTAACTCACCAGAAACAACATCAGCAGCATGCTGGGTCTTTTTCATGCAATAGTCAGCAGCTTCAATATCAGTTTCATCATCTTTCCAGTAAGAAATGGTGTAAATGAAGTCATTTTTTCCTTTTATTAACTTTGCCACTTGATTTTTTGTCTTTGGCAAATCTCATCTCTTACTTTGCATCGATTCAGTCAATATGTAAATTTGTTTTTACGTGCTACATTAATTGACCATTTAACAATCTTTTCTCTTAAACTTAAATCTGGAGTGTCTAGATAGTCAACAGTCCTATTCTTTTTTGATCTTAGTTTGCAAGTGATATAACAAATTGTTGCATTAGGAAACCATACTTTTGCATCACTAAACATACCCATTAATTCCTCACTATCTATATTGTAAAGCTATGCACTAGCTGTTTCCTCTTTAAATGTCTCCATCACAGTAAGAGAAGCTAGTAGTAAATGACTAAATACTAAATTATTAAATCATATAATAGGGGTTTAACTGACTGATCCTCTCTAAAGCAACTTCATCTAAACAGAAATTAAATGAACTTTATTTTTACAAATATATATATATATATATATATATATATATATATATATATATATATATATATATATATATTATGTGTGTATATATATATATATATTTATATATATATATATGTAAATATATAAATATATATTTACATATATATATATATGTAAATATATAAAAATATATATGTATATGTAAATATATATATTATGTATATATATATATATATATATATATATATATATATATATATATATATATATATATATATATATATATATATATATATATAAATGTATATATATATATTATGTATGTATATATATATATATATATATATATATATATATATATATATATATATATATATATATATATATATATTATATATACTATATAATAACTACTAAGCTATTAAATACAGAAAGTAACTAACTGATGTTGTCGGCTACAACTTCAATATAACTTTGAGCATCTAAAACAGCAAAAGTTTAAGTTATATTTAAAGAAATATTTAAGTTATAAATAAAGATTAGATAGTGGCCAAATAATAATTTGAAACAGTTTAATAAATTTATATTAAAATAACTTATTCATAAAGATATTCCTTAAACTTTATTTATTAAGGAATATCTTTTCGAATAAGTTATTTAAAAGACAAGATTCTTTATTATAAAAACAACATTCAAACTTCAAATTAGATATGTAACACCTTTAGTGTTTATTAATAAAGTAATAATCTTTAGTTAGCGTGTATCATTAAACTATACCATTGAAATTGTTAAAATTTACTAAACTTACAAATCGCCTGTCTGAATTCACCTAAAAGCCAATTTTAAATTACGAACTTTATTATAAAATTAAACTATAACACTAACATTGCAAAAAATAAGTTTAAATGACTAAATAACTAAAATAGTTTAAACTTTACTTGTTCTAAATTGTCTATAGAAAAAAACAACAATGACTCAATAAAAAGAAAGCAAAAAGTAGGAATACATAAATAAACAACTGTAAAAATTTTTTGTGGATAATTGTAATTAAGATCTTTAAATGAATACTGAAAGCAGATAACTAAATACTAAAATAATAAAGCATAACAAAGAAACTGACTTATCCTCTCAAAAGCATCTTCTAAAAAACAATTGAAAAACTTTTTTTAATAAAATAATACAAACATTTGTCTAGACTATATCTACTGATCTTAAGTTAAAAGAAACTAATGGGTATGGAATGTGTAAAATAACTAACTAATATTGTTGGCTGCCACCATTGGACTGCTTTGAGTTGCTAAAACAATATAACAAATGTTTTTCATTATTATGTTACATGTATTATACATAAAAGTTGAATAATTTCACTAACATATATAAGTTATATATGAACGTATTTTATTTAATAAATAAAGTACGATTCAACTGTAATAAATAATATAAATAAAATAAATAAAATTCAACTGTAATAAATAATATAAATAATTTATATTATTTATTACAGTTGAAAGATTAACAGTCAATTATTAAAAAAAAAAGATTACAACACTCTTACATTGTAATACAATGGAAGATAAAATATGTTATAATATTAATATCTTTAAACTTTAAAGTAACATTAAAGTAACATTTCCTTACTAAGTAAGGTAAGTAAACTAATGTTTCCTTACTAAGTAATTTAATACTTTAAAGTTTAATGTTTAAAGTATTAAAGTTTAATTTTTTTTTTTTTTAATTTTAATAAATAGGAAACAATATTGAAAACCTTTATCATTATTTTGACCTTCCATTTTATTTAATCTAAAAAAAAACTGAAAATGTTATTCAATCTAAATCAAATATAAAAAATGTTTGATTAGCCCCTCTGTCTCCCGCGCCCATTTCAGCAAAATGAGAATTAGGTACCAAAAGTGCGACAAAAAATAGACACCCTGCTACAACTTTTTTTTCAATGAAATTTTCCGGGTGCATAGATAAATGAAAAACTTAAATGAAAGAATAGTATAGAAAAATGAATGAGCATATCTTCGACATTAATTTCATGCCCAAAGTACAATAAAGTTTTAGACATGAAAAAACTCTATAAAAAAGCTATCTAGTAAAATAATAAACCTAACAGAAACAAAGTTTAACTATTCTAGTTTCTAAAAATAATCTATATTGATATCAAATTTTAAAAAGTTTTCCAACTAAACACGTCTTCCCTACGCTAGCTAAAAAAAATTCTAAAAAGCGTGGCACAGTTTTTTAGCACAAAAATCGGTTCCGTAAAACGCGGATTTCCACGTACCTAATATATATATATATATATATATATATATATATATATATATATATATATATATATATATATATATATATATATATATATATATATATATATATATATATATACATATACATATATATAATATTTATAATTCAATCAATATGAAAAAAATATAATGTAAAGATAATTGATAATATATATATATATATATATATATATATACATATTATGTATATATATAATACATATTATATATATATATATATATATATATACATATATATATATATATATATATATATATATATATATATATATATATATATATATATATATATATATATATATATATTTAAACAATTTAAATGTATTCTACATATATGTATTCTATATATATATATAGGTCCCCTCGTAGGCGTCCGTTTTTTTATTTTGACATCGCTTTTATAAAGTTTCTGGATTTTCGTGTTTTTCCAAACTACGCTACATGCATAAAGGAAAAAGTGTTTAAAAGCTAGCTAAAAAATAAACTGTCAATTTTTATTATATTTTTTCGTTTAAAGTGAAGGTTAAACTTATTTATAGTTATACAATTTTTAAAAAATTGCGATTTTTTCACTGTTAAGGAATCCTGCCAAAATAGGTAATTTTCATATAAAGAATTTAATATACCAATATTAATGCTCATGAATGATTTTGACATGCTCAAATAAATTCTTCATAGATCTTTCATTTGATATATAATAACCGATACTTTAAAATCTCCTTCATGTTTAAAAAAGATGCATACAGTTGCTACCGTCAAATAATTAATTGTTTATAGCGCCATTTTTTAAAATTATTTTCATTGTTGCTTTTTATTTTTCTTTACTTTAGATGGACCACAAGACTGCAAAAGATATTTGCGTTTTAATTAATTCATATAAATTCCAATCAAAGCCTTTGTTAAATAGTGATATTTACAAAAAGTTTTCTGAAAATTATTTCAAATTATCAAAAACTTGTCTGAAATTAAAAAAACTGAACATTGGACCTCAAAATGCATCTGATTTCTAAAATAATCTCCAACAATATAAGATACTTGCATAAAAAGATAAAAATCTTTAAAAAAAAACCCTACCCAGTCATTGGCTGCTATTGTTAATTTTTTGCAGCAACAATTTAAATATGAAAGAAAAAGAAATAGTTCTAATACAAATATTCACTTAAACGTTGCAAGTGATTTAAATATTGCTTCAGACACAATGCAGAGAATAAAGTGTGGTTCATGCAAAATAAAAAAAGATGAAATATGTAGTTTACATAAAAAAAACAGAAAATTGCAGCAGAGAGTTCGTTTTTTAAAAAAATCAATGACCCGTAACAAGCTTACAAACAAAAAATTTAAAAGACAGTATTTGTCACTAAATTTGTGGAAATTGAAATATTCAGAAAAAAAAAAAAAAAACAGTTCAGCAGAATAAGTTTCATTCTCTAGATTTCAATAATGAATTGAGAATTCTTAAAATTAGTAGAACGAAGTTGCAACAAAATGTTCAAAAGATAGAAAGGAAACACAAAATTGCTATCAAAGAATTACAGGCACAGATAAAAATCAAAGAGCAAGAAAATAAACAACTTGTAGAACAAAATCATTATTTAATTAGTATTGTTTTTGAGCCAGGTGTTTTAGCATTGGTTCAGGCTGGTGAGGCACTTTTTCATTGTGAATATGCAACAGTAGTGTTTGATGCAACCACCATTTTAGACAAACATGTAAATGAGTTTCTTATCAGTACCTATCCTCCGCAGAGATGTTATTCCTTATCAACCGCTAAACTTGCTGGAGGTACAGGATTTGACTGTGCCACTCATATTGTCAGTGTAATAAAAGAACTTGCCAATACATTTGCAGAGTTTAAGAATATGCCAGCAGTAGAAGTTTTAGATGTATTCACTCAAGAATCAAAAGTTGTCTGTCAGACAGAGCACCTGTTAATAGTTGTGTGAAAACCATGCTTCAGGAGGAGATGGACATTCAATTAATGCAACTGTAATTGGAAGCTATTGCCTTAAAAGCATTATTAGCGCTTAAAACAATAGATAATGAGTTGAAGGTAAAACCGGCTAAAGGAACTGATGGGGTTGCAGTAACAGTCCTCAAAAATATTTCTATGCTAAGGTAATCTTTTATATGTATATCTTTCATTATTTAATTTTTTTTTTAGTTTTATTTTCTTGTGAGCAATTATTTCTTTATTATTTCCAAGTTTTGAAAATTTGAAATTTAAATTTTTTTGCCCTTTAAAAATCAGGTATAGTTTTAAAGGCGATCCTGCAGCATTCAAAAACTATCTTAAAAAAAAACAATGTTGCTCCAGGGCTATTCCTTAGATATGTTGGTAGTAGATTTCATGTTTTGTTCCATATGGCAGGGATTGTTGTTACATACAAAAGACTTATAAAAACCTTTCTTGAAAAGTAATTTTTTTTAGATGAATATTTGTTTTAATAAAATTCCATGTATTAACATTTTCTCGTTATTCTAGCAACACCAAAAATAAAATTTGCCAGCTCTTACTTCAAGATATGAGTAATGATATAACGCTTGTGCAACTGCAAGGGTTGGGTCTGATAGGAAAAATAATAACTGGGCCATGGATGAGTCTGGTTTATAAAAATGCAACAGGAAAGAGTAATGTTGAGTTTGTAAGTTTTTAAGGTTTTTTAATAAACAAATAAAGTAGTTTAAAAAATGTACAAAAATTATTTTTTTTATTAGGGTGACATTTTCCAGAAAGCAATAAGGAAATTAGCTTACTTCAAAAGTAATCCAGAATCAATTCTTTATACAGATGTGGATATTTTTAGTCAAGTATTAAATATTAAAAAAGATAAGGTACACCAATCCCTTCGTGTAATAAAAAATAAAAATATTTTGGTAAAGATTTTATCAGCTTTGATAAGCTACACAGAGACAGTTCTCAAAAGACAGATGGCCAGGTATTTGACTGGCAATCTCTCAAATCCATCTAAAGAAATGATAAAAACCACACTATCTGCTTCACCTCATACAATGGAGGCTGAAAGGATCTTGGGCATGCTTGATTTTTTTTTGCGTTGTGCTCCTAATGTACTTTTGGTTTTCTGGATTCAAAAATAAAAGCCAGGGTAAACAAAACATTAACATGGCTTGATGAGAAAACATTGCCAGAACAAGAAGATCTTATTCAATTTGCAATTCGCAGAGGAGCTTTAACGTGTCAAGCCTCTAAAAATTTTATTAATCTTTTGTATGAAGAAATAGGAAAAAGATGTGCCAAAGCTGATTTAAAAAAAGAAAGTCTGGAAAGAAAGCAACTAGAGAAGGATATTAAAAGAGCAATAGCTGAAAATGCTAAAACCACAAATCCTCTTTTTGTTAATATTGATGAAAAACAAAAACAAATTTTAGGAGTATTTTTGAAAAATGGAAACTTGATAGGGCAGCTCTTAAGCCATAAATGGGAGCTAGATGATGGTAATATACATTTATTTTTTGGTAGAATTGTTGATCAAACGGTAGCAACAAAAAAAAATCTATTACATACACAATAGGATATTGGAAAGTCAATGAAGATGAAGCTGAAGATATTGACATAAGCCAGGAAGGAGTTATAGCAGATCTAATACATAAAGACCTGGAGTTCATTTAAAAATTACTATAATATATTAGGCATTATTATCTTTTATTTTGTTTATGTTGATTATTTTGTATACATTTTTATTTTTTCCTTTTAATTTTTAAAAATTTTTATATTAACCAAGAGCAGACACAGGGTTATTTTACATTTCAGATACTGTACTTTGCATTATGAAAACTCTAAGTATAAGTATGTTCAATCATTTGTCAAATAAGAATGATTTGCTAAAAAAATGTGGTAATTAAAACTTAGGAACAAAACTAAAATCTAAAAAAGATAGAACCCCCTGTCTCAAATGTTAATTTAACGAGTTAATAAGTTTTTAAGTTTATTATCCAAAACTAAATTTAAATTCACATTTTTTAATGCTCAAAGGTTATGACCATGTGAAATAACTTTAAAAGTATCAAGAATTATTGGGTCTGTTGATGGATTTAAATGTAGTATAAAATAATAAGTTAAAGTATTTTAATAACTTAGTCCCCTCACATTTTTATGTGGGGGTACAAACTTTTTGTGGTATCTTTGTTCCCAGGCTCCAATCACTTCAATTTTTTATACAATTTTTTTTTTTATATTCTCATTAGATTTAAGCATGAACAAACTTAAATTTAGATTAATTATGGTAATTCTTTTAATAAAATGACTTGAATCGAATTTGACCCACTTTTAAAATGGGCTTAAACACCACCCCCCTCTTTTTTTTTTTTTTTTTTTTGAATTTATTTAATATAAGTGGGATATAATAAACAGTTTTTATCATATATGAGGCGGTAAATTGTTAATACTTTATGAACTATGTTATAAAGTCCACTTTTTGAAGTCATTTTTTTGCGTATCTTTGTTAAGATGTCCACTTTATTTTCTCTACTTTCAAAATTGAATATCTTTTTTAATAGTTGACCCCAGATAATAAATTTGGTATAAAATTTTGTCATTTAATAATCTCTATATAATAGAATTAATTTGGTTAAAAAAATAAAAGTTTAAATTTTTCAAGAAGGTACCTATATATATAGAGGGCTTGTGATGAATCGAGCGCGATCGCGCTCCGCTCGTGAAACGCGCCCGTAAATGGTATTTTGAAACGTTCCAAGCGCGATAAACAACGCTCGTTTAGCTTACAACGAGCGTATAAAATAACGCTCGTCCAAGAGTTCGGGGCAAAACAAATAATAACTTTTTTTTTATTTTCATAAAATATGAAAAAAAGATTTTTTTATAAAGATTTTATGTTATCGAAGCACTAATAGAATATAAAATAAAAAAAGCACTACGTCGTTTTTTTTTTTGCACTAACCAGAATGAGCAGTTTGAAGTCGTTAATAGGCACTAATTTCATTGATGAAATGTGCTTGTAGAAATTCAATGCAAATACAAAAATGCACAAATAAAATAATGAAAAATTAGTAAACCATTATAAGAAAATTGAAACTGCAGAATATTTTTAATCTTGTGAAAACATCAAGTAAGATTTATTTGATTTATTGTTTGTAATATTCCATACATCGTTTATAATAAAAATAAATAATAATGATTTAGTAATTTTTTAAATTAGTTTTTGTTTATTGTATAAGTTTTTTATTAACTATTATTTATTCTAACTCCAATTTAAAACGATTTAGAATGTCCGCAATCAATGACATTCCAAAAGAAAAGAAAGTAATGTTGTTAACATTTATTAAATGGAAAGTTTAAGAGGTAATAGGCTTTAGAACTGAAGTTACCAGATATGAGTGACGAATTAGCTGCATTCGGTTTCAAAAATGTAGAAGAGGAAACACTGTTGACATCAGTTGAGGGGAAAATCTGTAATTAACCTATAATGAATAGTTTAAAAAAAAAAAACTTTCTTGTGTTATTTTTTTAAGATAAAAAAATCGTAATTTAAAAAAGAAATTTTAGAAATAAATTAATTTGAATAAAAAATATCAAGAAATATAAAACTATTTTTAAATACATATATCAAAACAACGAAACAAAAAAAGGCACTAAATTATAAAAAAGTCACTAAATTATACTTCAATACTAAATCAACAAGAAGTTGCGTTTTTGTTTGATATATATTTTTTTATAACATATATAGTTTAAAAAAAATCCCGATCAATATACAAGAATGTTAATTCATGAGTGTGATACTAATTATAACATTTGTCGACGAAAGAATGATGTAACAAATAAAAAAAGATCTTTTTTAGCAATTTTCATGATCGCGCTTGTCGACATTATCTCGAGCGCAGATAATCACGCTCGATGAAAACATATTTTAATTTTACGAGCGCGATATAACACGCTTGACAATTTTATTTGTCACAAGCCCTGTATATATATATATATATATATATATATATATATATATATATATATATATATATATATATATATATATATATATATATATATAAATTATGTTAGTCTACAAATAGAGTATATATATATGTATATATATATATATATATATATATATATATATATATATATATATATATATATATATATATATATACATATATATATACATATATATATACATATATATATACATATATATATACATATATATATATATATATATATATATATATGTATATATATATATATATATGTGTATATATATATATATATATATATATATATATATATATATATATATATATATATATATATATATATATATATATGTATATATATATATATAATTTGTCAATCTTAATGTCAAACCAGTCTATAAATCAAGCATTAAATTAGATCGCCTATGTTCTTCCATTAAAGGTCTCAAACACAATATTAGAATGCAGTGTTTTACTCCTTGCCAAATAAAGGACTTTTATGCATCGGTTAGCTCCACAATCCATTTCTTCACAAACAGAGTTTGCCAAATTGGGAACAAACTTCCGGGAAAAGTTTTAGATTCCGAGAATTTGAATAGTTTTAAAGCAAGTTTAGACGAATGGCTTAAGAAAAATAAGAAAATATTAATTTAAAAGAAAAAGAAAAAAAAAAAAGTATTGGGCTGCTATAGCTGAATGGTACAACGTCTCAGCTTGTGGATAAGATCCACGCAGTTTACCACTAACTAACTATATATATATATTTATATATATATATATATATGTATATATATTATATATATATATATATATATATATATATGTATATATATATATATATATATATATATATATATATATATATATATATATATATATATATATATATATATATATATATATATATATATATAGAGAGAGAGAGAGAGAGAGAGAGAGAGAGAGAGAGAGCGCAAGAGAGAGTGAGAGAGAGAGAAAGAGAGAGAGAGATATAAATAATGTTAGTCTACAAATATAGTGATCTTAAAACCTTCCAACCTTTTTTTTTTAAACCTTGAGGTACACAAAAAAAAATCTTGAGATTTACTCAAAAACCTGTAAAATATACATACATATATATATATATATATATATATATATATATATATATATATATATATATGTATGTATGTATAGCTGGATCAAGATTCTACTAGGATCAGGAAAAAAGTTTCAAAAAAATTACGTTCAGCTTCGACTTTAAAACAAACAGTGTCAATGTGCAGAAATATATTTTGGTAAATCCTGCAATATCTGCTCATATAACCATTTAATTGGTGATGTAAGAAGCGCAGTTACATTTACTATTGGTCTTCATGTTTCTATTTATTATAATTATTTTGCACTCTTTATCTAACTATTAGGCCGCAGGTCTTAATTAACCTTTATGTGAAGAACTTATTTTAAAAATTGGTGAGTTGGTCAGAATGGGTGTCAGTTCTGTTACTGAAATGAGACGTCATCTAAAGACCTTTCTTCAGACGGAATTTAATTCTAATAACATGCTGCAGAAGACAAACAAATGATTTTTCCTAAGTGATAAGACCATTGCAAATCACATGTTGATAGCTAGACGAAAACTTCGCAAGTCCATGATAGATCAAGAATGTCTTTGGGAAAAAATAAATGATTGGAAAATTAATTTTCAAGATGCAATGATAAAATTTAGACCAAAGGGAGGTAATTCAGAAGATAATGATCTTAAAAATTTGTTGTTGTTTGTATATCAAGATATATGGCAAAGAAGATTACTATTAAAATATGGGAATGAGCTTGCTTTTCTTGATGCTACATACCGAACAACCAGATATGCACTACCTCTTTTTTTCCTCGTTGTTAAAACTAACATTAATTACCAAATTGTTGCTATATTTGTGTGTGAACATGAAACCACTGAATCTATTAAAGAAGCACTTATGTGCATCAAAGAATGGAATCCTTTATTTCAACCAAAGTTTTTTATTACTGATTATTCTAATGAAGAAATAAATTCACTTGAATCTGTGTTTTTAGGTTAATAATGTATTTTGTTATTTCGTGGTTGTCAATGAGTTTACTTATTTTAATTACAATAAATTTTTTTTCTCTATATTTTTTAATTTTACTATTTACTGTCAATATTTTCATTTTAAGTCATACTTGATTTTAAATTGATTTTAATTTTGTTTTATATCAAGTCATTCTTTTCTATGTAATTTAAATGTTTTTATTTGACTTAGGTTCTACAGTGTTTATTTGTAATTTTAATCAAGAACAAGCTTGGGAACGATGGCTCTCTAAAACTGCTAATGGATGTTGCATGGTGAAAGATGTAGTTAAAGATAAGCTTCCTGAAATTGCACATGCAAAAACAATTGAGACTTGCCAAAAAGCTGTTGAGGCATTGGAGGAATCAAAAGAGTGGCAAAACGACCCAAAACTTGTAGAATATTTGAAAAGCACTTAGCTATGCATTCAATACTTATTATTATTATTTATCTATACTTATTATTTGACTTAATCTGTAACACTTTTTGAATATTAACCTGCTTTATTTGAGTTAACCTAAAATTAGAAATTATACTGGGTGATCTTTAAATAATATGATTACTGGATTTGTATATACCAAAACTCTAATTTTAAATATAATCGTTTTATTTTTTTGCGATTGATTAAATTTGACCTTTTTTTTTAATTTTATTTATCTTGTTTTAGTTATTGTGATGAAAATAGAAGAGCACATTCCTCATATAGAAAATATGATGATAAAGTTCCAGCATATTTGATTGATCGTTCACCATCTTTAGTTAAACATTGTATGGCATTGATTGATAAATTTCAAGGTGTGGATTTGCGGGGCATAACTGCTTTGACAGACAAATTATACAATGTAGCTTCTTTTAATTCAAATAGTAGAGAGATTTACCAATGCTACCTTGGTGATTCTGAATGTCTGCCAGCTTGTTCTTGTCCTAGTTGGTTTCGTCCCTCATATCCATGTAAACACTTTCTTGCCATTTTTCTAAAAGAGAATCTCTCTTGGTCTGCATTTGGCACTGCATATGCAAGTTCTCCTTATTTCAAGCTGGATTTGTTTTCAGATGAAAATAGTTTAGCTCATTCCAATAAGGTTTCATTATATAATATTCAATATGAACATGTTGAACCGCTACACATATCCTCTCTTTTTAAACAGAGTGACAAGGAAGTTCAAAATTTTAATTATGTGCATGTAAATAGTAATCAAGGTTTGATTGCTAAAAACTACAGTAATCATACCTCTGCAAGCTGTCGTGAGCTCTTAAATGAAATTAAACAAATGAGTTACTTATGTGACTCTCAACAAGCTATTGATAATTTGTTTGAAGGGCTTTGCAACTTAAAACACGTTTAGCAGAAAGTCTTCCAGTAGAACAAGGAATTCTGCTGCGTCCAGAGATTCAACCTGGTACTTGGAATAAGTCACACACAAATTCACCAAAACTTAGTCTTCTCCCTGTGCGACGTAAAAGAAAAATGACTAAGCGTGTTGGTGTTAAATATGACAAATATAAAGCAGCTGCTGATATTAGTGTGATGGCTGAAAAGGAAAGTTATAGTTCTGAAATTGTCACAAGTCACTTAATTGATGAAAACTATGAAATTTTTATGGTTCCTAATAAATCAATTGATATCATGGAACATTTAACTGATGATAGTAACAACTCTGTTGATATGACTGTAAATGAAGATGTTAAACAAGATAGAATAGTGCTGCAAATTCAAAGTCTTAAATCATCTTTGATTGGTCATAAAGAACAAAATGATATTATAAAAGGACATATGCTTAATGATAACGTAATTCACTTTTGTCAGCAACTTATGGCGATCCAGTTAAATATTGATGTTGGACTGCAAGATTCCATTAAAGGACAAATTTTATCTTTTGATATCTATACAAGTACTCCATTTGTCCAAATTCTTCATGATGGAAATCTTCACTGGTTATGTGTAGCCATATATGACTGTACTGTACACTGTTATGTGTAACCACATATGACTGTCCAGGTGTAACCACATATGACTGTACACTGGTTATGTGTAACCACATATCCAGTGTCCAGGGGAGATATATGTTTTTGACAGCCTTTTCCACGGTACAATCAGCTTAGAGACAAAAAGACAAATTTGCAATATTTTGCATTGTCAAGAAAAAAATCTTGTTTTTAAAGTTTTGCCAGTTCAACAGCAAACAAATGGTGTGGATTGTGGTATTTATGCTATTGCCTGGGCTCGTCAGATTCCTGAAACAAAAAGTTTACCCACAACAAATCTAATGTTTGAGGAAAGTGAAATTAGAAGTCATCTCCTAAAATGTATATCAAATAACCAGATAGAGATATTCCCAGCAACTAAAAATCCTTTTTCCTTTAGAAGATGTGCTGCTAAGACTTTTCGTGTTTCTTTGCATTGCTCTTGTCGTATGTTTTGGGTGCCTGGTATGTTGGCACATATTAATGAGTTAACAACAAAATATTTATAACTGCAATTCCTTATTTGGTATGTTAAATTTAACAAATTTTTAAAATGTAGTAACAATGTAGTATAATGTAGTAACAAATTTTTATAATGTATAATGTATTTATTTTTTCAAAGGCCAATGGCACAATGCTGTGCTTGTAGTAGATGGTTTCATCGTGAATGCGAAAAAATTCCACTAAGTGCCTATGAGCAGGAAGATGAAATTTGGAACTGTTATGATTGCCACAACCAGTCAAATAAATAATAATAAAACAATAATACTGTTATACAGCACAGGTATATAATTTTTAATATAACGGACTGTTAATGTCGAACAGTCATAATTACTTGCGTAACATCCAAATATACAATATTTAAAAAAATGATTTTAGTTTAGGTTGTTAATATTTAATTTATGCAGAGTATACTTGATTTAATGTAAAACTTTTATGTTGGGAGGTCAATAACATTAACTGACCATAAACATTACATGTAGTATTATGTTACTTTATATAAATTTTATTTTATTATAATGCACGTACTCTACACAACAACCTTGCTTTGCAAAATGCCTAGAAAATACAATTCTTAAATGATTTGCCATAAAGTAATACCACTGATGGCATTGTACAGAAAATTCATGCCAAAATTTTATAATAGGTACACTATATTTAATTACTGCTTCTCTTTTTTCAGATAATTGATTTGTTATTATAAAAATTTTTGTGAAACTTTTAAAAAAAATTTTGAAATTAAAATTTGATTCATAATTTAAAATTTTTTATAAATTAAGTATCATTTCAAAGTAGTGGTGGCCTCCATGTTAGCTTAATGATTGGTATTCTTGGAAAAGAATTAAAAGGCATGTTATTAAAAAGAAAATGAAGATATCAAGCACGATTTCTTTTCGTAAACTTGAGATATGTATTTTATTAACATATAGTTATTAACGTAGTTCAATGGCGTAGTAAGAAATGCTTTCTCTTCTTTATAATGTCGCGACTTTAAAAAAGACTATAAAAATTTAGTTTTCCTGCTTATTTAACAGTTAGTTGTTATTATGTACTAAATGTCTAAATTTATGGCCGTAGGTATTTCACGCTTTGCTTTATATAATTGTCATTGATATAATTGGAAAGCATTTATAGAACCTGCTAATAATTTAGAACTTCATCACAATTGTAAATATTGCTTAAGTTGTCTCTTGTTGATTATGATAAAAAATTATTAGGTAGCATACAAAGTATTATTGCAATAATCCATTTTATTTAATTTTCATTTTACTTATAGTGATACCTATGGATTTATAGTGTTTATGTCTATTATAGACGTAGACGTTTATACTTTAAATAGCATGTATTTTTTAATTATAGCACATATATACGGCTATTCTTATACAGGTATAAACTGCCCTAATTGTTATGTTTGTGTCATTGTGCTTTATTATATATTGACATTGAACTGCTTATACCTTATTTGATATCGGCATACTTAATATGTATAGCCTTTTTGTGGTATAAGCCGTTAGGGCGTCTTAGCTGAAATATATCCAAGTATATTTACTATTCTTAATGAAAAATGTAAAATGGTTTTGCAATGTGTTACATATGAGAAAGCAATTTTATTTTTTTTTAAACAAAAAAAATTACTTTAAAGAGCGACACATTTATGCAATAGCTTATTGTGATTTTTTTGTCGTTAATTTTATAATCAGGAATTATCTTTTTCCGGATATTTCCGGACTTCCGGATATTTTTTAAACTTTTTATATTTTCCGGATAATTTGTTTCCGAAAATACAATTTATAAAATTTTTTCTGTTTATTACTATCAAATGAAACAGTAACAAGTATATATAATCAGTAAACTTGTTGTCCATAAATTACGGAACGTTATATTTAGTTAACAAACAAAGCCAAAAAGATTAAAAGATTTCCCTCGCAGATTAAACCAAAAATTAATAAGCATTTTAATTAAAATTTAATAAAAATCCCAGCGCAAAAGAGCGAATGATCTCCTACTAAAAAATAAAATTTAAATAAAATTAGCAATGCGTGTCAAAGTCACCTTTTTAAAAAAAATTGTAAATTTACATTTTTTAAATAGCTCTTTTAGCTATTAGCAAAGAGATTTCTTTTTTTATTGTTTTAAATCTTTTTTTAAGTAAATCACTTTGCTTATGAACTGAAACTTCTCTCAGTTTATTTGTCGGTGATTCAAAATTTACTGCATCATTATTTCGTTTTCTGTCCAGTCGTGCAAATGGGTAGGTACAATCGGCGGGGCGGATCGGCGGGGCGGATCATTTGTTTATTCAGCATTGTTACTCGTGAATTTCTTCAAACGAATTCATCTTCAGCAAACGTGATTTAAGAAAAAATGGCTATTCCAGCTTTGATCAGTTTAAATCATCTCAACATTGAGGTTATTAAAGATCTTATTACCAAGAGTGATGATGAAATTAGAGCAACTGCTCTTAACAATCCCAAGGCCGGTGAAGTTTATGTCGTCCAAGTGAATAATGGGAAAGGTTTGTACTATACTAGTTTACTACCACTAGTAGTATTTTTTTATATAAAGAATTATGCCTACTAAGTAAGCCTCTCTTTTATTAGAAAAAAATGAAGAGAATCTTCATATCTTTCAGTTGCTGCAAAATAGAGCAATAAAATCTATTTTTAAATTTTAATATTGCTTAAATTAAGCATATCAACACTATATATCATTAAGCCTTAAAGAGTTGAATTGGCTAACAATCAAATAAATTATTACAGTAATAGTTCTAATAATAAATAATACTATTAAATTAGAAAATATGTCTGTACTAAAAAAAATTTGGGTTAAAAATAAGGATATGCATAGTAATTACACCAGAGTATCTAAGAATATCATATTCCTCAACACAATCATATTGGATGGTATTCAGTATTTCGCAAAGGAGTTAAATTGTATAACAGTTTTCCACTTTTGATGAAGAATTTGAGAAGAGGAAATTCAAAATTTAAGTTGTAAAATATGTTTAAAAATTAAACTAGTTTATTATCAATATAAACAATTAATATATATATATATATATATATATATATATATATATATATATATATATATATATATATATATATATATATATATATATATATATATATATATATATATATATATATATATTAATTGTTTATAATACATTTGGGATATATGTATATATATATATATATATATATATATATATTAATTGTTTATAATACATTTGGGATATATATATATATATATATATATATATATATATATATATATATATCCCAAATGTATTGGATCCATATTGAAGGATTAATTCATTGCAGTTCACAACTAAAGTTAAAGATAAACAACACTGATATAACTTATTGTACGGAAAATAGCATGAACTTTTTTTATTGAAAAATTTTTCTTTTTTAATTTTAAGTTTCTGATTGAAAAAAATCAGAAATATTTGTAGAATATTTTTACTATTTGCATAAGTTGGAGCCTTTATTTTTAGATGATTGGCGAGCAGATGGGTATAGGTGGAAGCAAAATGGACGCAGTAAAATTCCTCGTGGTTTACCACTGTACACAAAACTCCACTTTGCTACAGTTACACCAACAGGAACTTCATGTGTTTTTCAGAAATTTGTATACCGTGATCTAAGTCGGACAGATGTTGTTGTTGTCCATTATATAGGAAACCATGAACTTGCAATCTTAATGCCTCATGGTATAGGTTTTATCACATTTTATTACTGATTGTTATTTTAATTTTAGAACTATTAAAGATGAATGTCTTATCTATATAACTGAGTATATAAAGTTGTATATACTCTAAATAAAATAGTACTTGTTAGGCCATTATAAAGACAACTCCTAAGAGATGGAAAATCCTAATATAAGTTACCCTAGTGAGTTTTAAAAGCCCAAAAAATTTATTTTTTTTAATTACTATTAATTTTTTTGAAAAAGTACTGTATAACATTAATTACTGTATACTTTTAAATTAATTACTAAGTAAAAATAGTATATAATATTAATTCTTTATAATATTTTTTTTTACAATGTATTTTTTATATATATTCCAGGAAATTGCAGAAAATCAATAAGTTTTTTACCAACAGCTCCATCTTTGCGAGATGCAATTATTGATTCTGACAACTACAAGGATCTTCTTGTTGATACCAAGCATAACCAGATCCAATTTCAGCCTAGAAACTCAAGACAGTTGAAGTATGTGCGTAGTGTCAAAGCAGAATGTACTAAACTAGGCACTGAATCTTTTTTAACAATTCATGAACTGGCATATATGATACCAGGTTTTGTCTGGTCCATATCCACATATCCAGACTTGTCAGTGTTGTTTGGAATGCAAAATTTAATCGATGAACTTGTGATGTGCCCTCAAATTTTCTTTTCATATGACACAACATTTAATTTAGGAGACTTTTATTTGTCAATTTTAGTTGCTCAAATGAGTTGTTTTAATGAGAACCCATGTATGCCTATAGCATTTGTTTTACATGATAGGAAGTTAGATAATGTTCATAAACATTTCTTTAAAACATTTAAAAGTAAACTACCAATTTTTAATCAGGTTGTTATTGTGACTGATGGTGAGAGTGGAATGAGTAAGGCTTTTAAAAAAGTCTTACCAAAATGGAATCTGGTATCTTGTTCCAATCACATAATATCTGATGTTGATTTTTGGCTAAAAAAACACAATGCTTGTCATGAAGAAATAATAATCTATAAATCTCAAATGCAGGAACTTCTCAGATGTGAAAGTGAATTACATCTAAAAGTTAAAATTGATACATTAAGGCTTTCTTGGAGTGAGGCATTCTCAGTGTATTTTTCAGACTACTTGTATTCACGTATTTTAATAGCTTATATTGGTCATCTCAGATCTGTTGGTTTAATGGATAATATAGTTACAAATAATGTATCTGAATCATTAAATGCAGTTATAAAAAAGTTTCAAGAATGGAAAGAAGCGCCTGTTGATTCTATGAATGTTGCAATGCATTGCCTTCAGACCTTTTATTTGACAGAAATTAAGCGGAGTTGTAGTGGCTTTGGACCCTACACTCTCTTTGACAGCAGTCTCCTAATCAGTATGTCACATTTAATATGTAATAACTTGTTTGTTTAAAAACCTTTTTTAATTCTTTTTTATTTGATTTTAGAATTATTTAGAAAATATTTACAAAAATGCTATATACTCACTAGTTAGTAATGATGTTTTAAATTGAAAATTAAAATGTTTTAGATAACACAGACGATATACCAAAAGTAGATAGTCCAGAACTTGTTATTGCAGAGCTGCAAGCAGCTGCAAATATACCAATGCAGCAATGCATACCTCCATCTATACGAGTGCTTTCTAACACGTTTAATGTTGTTCATATTCCAAACCTAAAGGTTTTTACAGTCTCTGCACCTGATGGAAATGCGCATGTTGTGAAGTTGTATCCAAAGGAAAACTGCACATGTCCTTCATCAACAATATGTTGTCACATACTAGCTGTTAAACGCAGCATTGGAATTGAATGTGGTGAACGCAAAATCATAAATTTGACCAAATTGCGGCGTAACTCACGGTACATCAAATTACTCTGGGGTGCCTAATAAACTAGGGAAAATATTAATATTTGGGAAAACTTTTTAGGAAAATAAGCTAAGAATCTACAAAATTAATAAACATGAAGGGGTTATAAATAAGGTCTGGTGAGTTAGGTAAAAAAGTTAAATAAATTTTAAATATTTGGCAACTCAGAGTACAGTGCTAATAGTTCAAAAATGTACAGATCGAATATAAATTCTAATCCTTAGTAGCATTCTGGGTTATATATGTTTCAAACAAATGTGATTTATCTTAATATATAACTTTATTATATAATTAAGTGATCAAGGTTCTTCTTAATATTATCTTAATATGGATTTTTAGCGACCTCATCAAAATTACAACATTTGTCGAGGTTATAACCTGGAACGCTGATATTATGTTTAATGTATTATATATTTGTTTTATTTTTAAACTTATTGTTACATAATTTCTTTATGTATACAAACATATATATATATATATATACATATACAAAAAGACATATATACATATACATACAGACATATACATATATATATATATATATATATATATATATATATATATATATATATATATATATATATAAATATATGTATGTATGTATGTATGTATGTATATAAATATGCCGGAAGAGGCAACTTAAATTCTCAAATATTAGACTAAGATGTTTCCTGTTATGCATCACAGAACAGAGGATGCAATAAGAAAACATCTAGTCTACACTGTAAATGTCAGTTTTTAGAATTTTTATTATTTTTAGTAAAAAAGGTGACAAGAAATCAGGCTGTAAGAAGCCAAGAAAAGGTGATATAAGTTTTATCCCTGCACCAGATGCAACTGTCAATCTTGACATAAAAGTTTTGAATGATTTGAGCATGAATCAAAGTGTTGATTCAGCATCTCAAACTTCCCATATTGATAACCTTTTGTCTGCAGCAAGTTCAAGTACAGAGATTCTGTTACCTCAACATGAAATGTAATTAACTTTATTTGTTTGCATTTTAAATATTTAGATGTTATCCATGCTTGTTTATCTTCTATTATACTGTAAGTAATGTATAATTTTATGTGTTAAAAGGATGCAAAAACAAGTGAAATTTGCTGACAACTATGTCCAAACGCCTGGAGATTCTCTATTGAATTTTTCATTTTCATCATTAGTTGTGCATTCAGATATGAAGCCAACTACACTAGAAATACCTATTTTAATTTGTGATGATACAAATTCGGTGGTTCCAGCAGATGCGCAGACATGGCTTCAATTTGAAAATCTAAATCTTACCAATGCTGATCGAAGCCTTATTATAAATCCAATGGGTCTTCTTAATGATAAAGTTATTTATGCCTCAATGATATTGTGTAAGCGTCAATTTCCAGATATTAAAGGTCTCGAAGATCCAATTCTGTGCTTTGCTGGTCAATGTAATGCTTCCACCGGAGCTTTTGTTCAAATTTTTAATGATCCAACAAAAGGACATTGGATAACTGCCTCTAACCACTATTGTAAAGATAGTCAAATCGACATATATTGTAGTCTTCAACTCATTCCAAGTAAAGAATGCATTTATTCAACTTCTAAATTTGCCTGTTTACAGTCTGTTGAAATAGAGCTTAACATAAACAATGTAGCTTGTCAAAAAGATCTTTTGTGTGGGTTTTATGCAATAGCAAACTGTGTTTCTTTGTGTTTAGACAAAGATCCTTGTAACTTTAGATATAGTGAGGGTTTGATGCGACAACATTTGCTGACATGCCTCGAAAATTACAGAATAACACAGTTTCCTGTAGATAGCTATAGAACTGTTAGAAAAAATATAGTTTGTACCTCAAGCTACTCTTTGTATTGTGTGTGTCGCAGTATTTTTAAATCAACAGACTCAATGATCCAGTGTTTGATTTGTAAAGAGTGGTTTCATTCCACTTGTGTAGGTCTGTCCGATGCAATGTTTACAGAGTACAAAACAAGCCTACGCAAGATTTACAAGTGCATTAGATGTGTGTAGAAAACTTTTTCATATTTTTCAGCTATTCTTTTAAATGAATATTTTAATATATTAAAGTAACTAAATAAAACTTATAAAATTTAAAGTTAGAAAAGTGTCTACAGATAAAATAGTTTTAAAGTTAGTGTGTATGTAGAGTTAAAATAGTTTTTAGAGTTAAAATAATGTTTAGAGTAAGAATGGTGTTTAGAGTAAGAATGATGTTTAGAGTAAGAATGGTGTTTAGAGTAAGAATGATGTTTAGAGTAAGAATGGTGTTTAGAGTAAGAATGATGTTTAGAGTAAGAATGGTGTTTAGAGTAAGAATGGTGTTTAGAGTTAGAATAGTGTTTAGAGTTAAAGTAGTATTTAGAGTTATATATGATGATAAATGTGAAAGGGTACGGCTTTCCTGAATGATGAGTTAGGCGATATGATTGATCTTTCGTGAGTCATTATTGGTTGAAATAACTAGATATAAAACCTTGTTTGAAAATCAACTGTAATAGTATTTGTAAAAAAAAAAAATACAACTTTATGATAATGGCACAGAGGCTCAAGCTTTGGAGTTATACATGTTCAACATTTGCAAAATGTTTTTGGATCTTGTTGAGAAGAGAAATAGTACCATTAGAAGAACCAGCCCAAATGTGACAAAAGTATTCCTATCAGGGATGAATGATAGATTTAAATAGGTAGAAAATGGAAGTAGCAAATAGAACAAAAAGTATTGAAATGGCAAGCAGAATGAAGAGAGACAACTGTATATTGTGCTAACTTTGTAATGGATTGTACTCAAACTTTAAACATTAAAACACTCAAACATTAAAAATATATAAAACATAAAAAACAAAAAATAATCTTAAGATGTATAACACAGAAGACTCTGTAATAGTGTTGCCAATAAGAAGTTTGTTATTTAAAGATTCAAAGACCTTGCTAACAATAGAGAGACTGATTGCAGTATGGTTAAAAAAGAAAATAATATTTTGCCTTTTAGATGAAACACGCTATGATTTCTGTTTTATGCTATTGTTATAAACTAGGAATTGATTTATTTGTAACTTCTAGATATATTTTCATTTTTCTTTACTTTGGGCACATTTTGAACTCTGAATAATATATGATATTTATTAGTCCAGCATGTATTATTTTATTAAACAAACAATTAATATATGTGTGTGTATGTGTGTGTGCGCGTATGTGTATATGTATGTATATATGTGTGTGTGTATGTGTGTGTGCGCGTATGTGTATATGTATGTATATATGTGTGTGTGTGTGTGTGTGTGTGTATATATATATATATATATATATATATATATATATATATATATATATATATATATATATATATATATATATATATATATATATATATATATACATGTATATATATACATGTATATATATACTATAAATTTTGCTTTAGTCATTTCAAGCTGGTAGAAATATCTTTTATTGATTATATAGAAATTACATGTCTACTTTATATGATATTATTTTTTCATTTCTTTAGTTCTACCTCGCTCTTCTACCTTGCATCATAATTTTGGTTTAGTGTGCCTACTGTTGAAATATGGTTTAAATTTAGTAAATTATCGAGTTTTGATATTTACTTTATTGATCATAAGGTAACAGTTTATGACATGAAATCCTATTCAAACAATTAAGCCAAGAGTTACTTTGTTTACTGGTATTATTAAAAAAAGGTTAGTTATAATGTTATTTCTGTTTAGTTTTAATATATTACGTTTGTGGTGCTAATTATAATAATTTTTGCTGTACAAATGGAAATAATGTCATTGTAACATCTTACTAATTTTGTTTTAGAAAAAAGATATTTGTAACGCTCGATGCACTATTTATAGCACACTTATAATATATTTGTTTAATACTAATGGTAAGGAAAAAAAAAGGTTATTTAAGTAATATTTTTGGGAAAAATATCGGAGAGATTTTTACTTACTTCATGAAATTTGGCGGAGCATTTACTATAAGTTTGCGGATCACTTGACATAAATTACAAATGTTAGGCGGATCACTTCATGAAACTTGGCGGATCATTTACTATAAGTTGGCGGAACAATTGATATAACTTGGCGGATCACTTGATATATATTGGCGGATCACGTTGTTTTATAGTAGGAAAATCAATTTGAAACATGTAAAGTTGTTATTCAATATTAAATTTATTTAAACTATAAACAGTATTTGTAAGCAATCAAAATGTTAGACGGACCACTTCATGAAATTTGGCGGATCATTAATTATAAGTTGGCGGATCACTTGATATATATTGGCAGATCACGTTGTTTTATAGTAGGAAAATCAATTTGAAACATGTAAAGTTGTTATTCAATATTGAATTTATTTTAAACTATAAGCAGTATTTGTAAGCAATCAAAATGTTAGGCGGATCATTTCATTAAATTTGGCGGATCATTAACTATAAGTTTGCGAATCACTTGATATATATTGGCGGATCACGTTGTTTTATAGTAGGAAAATCAATTTGAAACATGTAAAGTTGTTATTCAATATTGAATTTATTTTAAACTATAAACAGTATTTGTAAGCAATCAAAATGTTAGGCGGATTACTTTATGAAATTTTGCCGGTTCATTTACTATAAGTTGCCAGATCATGTTGTTTTTATATAAGAAAATGACTCTATAAAACATAAATTTGTTTTTTTACGGACCTATTTTTAAAATATATGTAATTTAGACTTTGAAACATTAAACCAGAAACTTCTTACCTATGAAAATGAGGCAATCAGTTTTTGTATTTCCTGTAGATAAAATATTATAAAACATTTTTGTTATTTATTTAAGTAATAATACGCAAGTAACAAAAATGTTCGAGGTTTAAACATTTAATGAAATAAAACTAAAATTGAATAGATTTCTTTTCCATTTTATAAAATATGACTGATTGCATTATAAATCTTACCCGATGCAATGATCCGCCCCGCCGTTTGTACTGTTTAATTGATCCGCCCCGCCGATCCGCCCCGCCCCGCCGATTGTTCCTACCCAAAAACGGACGCCTACGAGGGGACC